GGGGGGGGGCGGCAAAATTTACTATGGTTTATAATGGCAAATGATACTTTGAATATGAAATTTGAGCCAGCCCTACACCCAAGGGCTGTAGGGTGGGGCCCAAAGGAGTCAGTGTGCTAAAATTTCTTCATTTTCCTTGTTTAGAATCAGTGGTGCTAGTTTCAAATACTTTTTAGTCTTAAATCTGTATGCTAGATATTGAATAAGGTGGTTTTATTGTTTTTTTGTCATTTTGAATCATAATTCTGTTCATGTTAAAAACAAAATCAACTCTCTGTATAAATATATCAGGTGACCGTTAAGGCCCATGGGCCTCTTGTTTATTAATACGGGACCATGTGATGTAATTTATGAAGCTAGTTGAGAATTATTTTGAACAATACGCGATCCTGAATAACGTTCATGAGATTTATTACATCTACGAGGATTAAAGTAATAGTTACATTGGTTGTAATTCCAGTGATGGATATCGCCCGGTTGTCATAGCATTCCTGTAGTTCACTCGCCTAAAACTTTTATATAGTCAGTTCCACTAATATTATATATTACTATTACTATATTGTTACCTAACTTTGATATGACTCTTGATATTGCTATGATATAATAGGATTTATATCATTCCTCTCTTATGGCTCATGTCTCATTCCTCATATATATAATTAATTTCTATCTTGTGGTTCACTTTTCTTTCTTCATTCATATCACTCATTTCTATAATCACTCATCTCCTTTTTACAGCATTCTTTTCTTATAACACTCGTCACAATATCAGTCCAATTTTCAATCACGCATCTTCTTCATTGTCACTTATTGTCAAATATCGCTAATATCAATTATCATTTATTTCCTAATCTTTATGATATCTAATGTCGCTTTTATCTTATATCGCTAATCTCTTTTATCACTTATTGTTTTACATCATTAATCTCTAACTTCGCTTATTTCCTCTCCCATCACCGTCTGCTTTATTTCCCATCTCTACTATCACTCGTCTCTAATATCATTAATTGTCCAACATCATTAATTTCTATCTTCGCTTATTTCCTCTTCCATCACTCGTCTGCTCTATTTCCCATATCTACTATCACTCGTCTCTAATATCATTTATATCTAAGACCACTTATTGAACATTTATACAGTACCAAGAGGTTAACGAAATGTTTGTTTAAAAGGATGGTGTTCTGGTCATTGCATAATGGTTCAATGAAATTAATACACCGGTATATCATTGTTCTTAATTCTATTTTTCAGATTCATTTCATGATCGTTATCAGCGCGAACATTTCACATATGAAAGACCATCGCCTGGCAACGCTGAATGCGTACTCCGAGACTACTGAGGAAGTACGTAACTCTAAGCACTCCATCGTGGATACAACTATGTGAGTCACGTGACCACGAGACATGAGGACGAGGCAGCACAATGCACGAGCATGTGTCACGTGATTAAAGATGTACAGGCTGTTGACAGCTGACCGAGAGCGCGGAAGTGGGTTGGAATCAAAGTGTATGTGTTGACTAGTACAGCAAACTGAGACCGGAGACAGCAACACTAGACATAGTTCGTACCTCTGTGTTGTCATCTTATACACTCAAGTAAATGTTTTCGTTTTGGTGAAATTATACACTAACAAATAAGGTGCTGTGTGAATGGAACTTCTTTAAACAAAGTCTATAAAACAAATAACCTAAACGATATAGACAATACCGAAAAGGTAAGTCCATATGGGGAATCATCGTACATTGTATGTTTTGTCATAAGAAATGTCATCCACCATTTTGATTGTAACACGACCAGAATTACATACATTTGTACATTGTACTAGTATCATATTATACATTGTACTAGTATTTTATTAGCCATTATACTAGTATAATATTAGACTTTGTACTAGCATCATATTAGCCATTGTACTAGTATTTTGTTAGCCATTGTACTAGTATAATATTTGACAGTGCGCTCTCAAAGGCACACATTTAAAACGTACACAAGGAAACTGCCCACCATCTGTGAAGTGATGTATTGTAGGGAACCACAATATGTAAGCGGAAGTTCATCTCAAAGCGCCATCTATTGGCTGCTCTATAGCGCGTGCGTCTTTAATTATCGTATAGGTGTACAATGTTCTATCTGCTTTGTATTCTTGATCGGGATGTGTGCAGCTACTCCAGGTGAGGTCTTCTTTATTTTGAAGCCATTCAACTTCTTCAGTGAAAGCAGTCTTTGTGATTAGGAGATTTTGGTCTTGCTGTTTTTTGCCATGTTTCTACGACAGTGTTCTAGATAAAGATATCAGCACTAGTGGTCTACTCTAGAAACCAGTCTGTCAAATAGAAAAGTTGAAACACACAAAACTGTTTGGAATGAGATATTTTTTATTGTATTTCACGAAAATGTATTTTTAGGAAACAAATGTCCAAATCGGTCAGTCACAAAATAAGAAACTCAAAGGCTAATATTAGTCCTCAAATTCTTTTCGATTATTGATAAGCTATTAATTTTAAAGACATTTCAATGACGCTACTAGGATACTTGTTACCAAGAAAATATTACACTGGAATGATTCGGTATTATCGGTAGAGAAGTAGGGTTGGTCAGTGAATGAGTTATGGCAATGACGTCAGTAGCATTGGTATGTCTCTATACTTAAAGTATTGCAAATCGAAGGAAAGAACACAATCTTGTGACAGGTATTAGTGATCTTATCAAGAATTGTTGATTTGGTAACCTTGACAGAGGTAATAGCGATCTTGAAAAAGTTGGACGGTTTCCACATAGAGAATAGCTCTGCAGAGCTCGTGCACATACTGTTACTACCCGTGTGATGTCGTCAGGGCTTGCCCGTGGGTTGTGTTGTGGCATACGTTAGCAAGTTTCTTTTGCACTGCTTAATGTGACTAGCCAGATTTTGATGAGATGGTTTAAGAAAGTGTTGTTGTGTTATCCCAAATGGGAGTTTGTCATGCTCTATAATACTCAATTTACAGCGTCAAAGCGGTGTACTCTGTATTATAATGTCGTTTGTGTGGTGAAACATGAATAGTGTTTGGTGGCCATTGTTTATATAAACATTATTGCTGATTCTTTCTTTTACAAGATAAAATGTTAGTTAAAATATTATAAAATAGATGTTTTATAATTCAATGTAAGGGCGATCTTTAAGTTATAAAAATGTATAGGAGAATCGCCTTGTATCCGTACATGGTAGGGTATTTTTTTCATTCTCATATAAGAATGTTTTGCTTGGAACCCCTATATTAAATGTTCACTCATGTATCATAGGAACACAGCACTAGGGAAATGCACCGTGTACTTCGGAATTTATAATCTATTTTTCTGTTTGTTTAACATATAAAACCCTCACATCCAGTCCTGTGTGTTAATATATGACATTCCTGTCAGGTATTTGACAAAAATGTCTTACCAATTGATCCCGAAACGAACATTTAAATACTTGAGAGCTAGATTCACACTTTATACTATTTTGAAAGATAGATATACGCTTTCCATCATACGTAGCTTCGTAATGAATGTCTCGTTAGCTAGCTATTAAACGATGACAAAAATATGGTACCGCACGGGCTTTGACAATTTTCCTTTTTGGATGATTTCCTGTTCCTAAGAGGGTAGTCACATTGATTGTGCCTTATCAAAATATTATTAGTATAATATAGAGTTTAAAACTCAAATACTAGACTTGATTATCCCCCCTTAATAGTCGGGTTATCCCCCCTGGATGGTTTACCGTTAGGTACGTGTAAGGAGACTTAGAACAAGTTCACAAACAATTCGTAACACAAAGATCAGAGAATATCAATCCGAGTGTGTTTACATAGGTAAGGAAGTATGAGTGGATAAAATGGGGAACTCTTCCTATACTGCGCTTAGTTTTACATTTGTACACGGTGTACATAACTACACAGATCATTTTGGAGTTTTACGTTTGCAAGATTTGGTAAATTTATAAAACAATGTTTTGAAAGTATTCTTAATGCACTCTTGAAATATATTTTTATCGAAAATCTCAGGTAGCTCTTGAGTAATTCACTAAAGATAAAATTCGCCTAATTTTGTACCGTACAGTCTTCGTAATTCCTTTTAGTGAGAAGGATTTTGTATTGATGTGGGCACTGTGATGAATTTAAAATGACGCTTTTTGGTTGGAAAAGTTCCATTTAAGTGCATTGCTTGAAACTCATCTCATAAAATCATTAACTATTAAATAGCTCCGTAAGCACTTGGATTTTTAAGGGAAACATATTAATTGGAAGCTTTTAATAATCAGAAATGTTTTTTGTGAAAAGTTTGCGTTATCATATTAACTTCTTATTAGGAAACCTGTCACAATTACATTAATTAAGAACAGTGTATTTTTTCAATGTTTTCTGGTCGTTTTCATACTTTCATACTTTTTACATCAGAGAAACATCCCATTTAAGATTCATTACTTAGTAACACATAACAACCTAGTTGTACCCATATATATCAGTGTTTTCATAAAGTACTTCCATTTCAGCAGACTGCATGTCATATCTTTATTATTAATATAATACGCATGCATGTATCAGTTCTCCGCATTATGAGGGAATTAGAAAAGGCAGAGAAGTTTGTCTCTCAAAACAATATAACGACCTTAGTTTTATTACGCAAATGACGTCACATATGACGTAGATACTATTTTTGAACATGATTATGTGCAATATTTTCACGTCTGTTTTTAAATAGTAGGAGTAGCACCATCATGTTGTGACGATATGTAAGACCTAGTAGTGCTACCTGTGTAAGTATTCAGTAAACATATGTCTCATTGCATCACTATCAAACTAAATGGTTAAAGTTTGTTCATGTTTTTGTGTTCAAGTATATTGTTACGTTTGTTAAAGAGTCGAATCGTGAAATGTTCGCATTATAAAGAGACCAAACAAATCAATTAGCACCAAAAATGTGTATTACCAAGAAAAATGTATATTGCATCTATTGACACTCGTAGTATAGAAAATAGAACCGGCGCTCACAATTGCTGTGTTAAATTACGGAAGTTGTTGTGTAAGAAATTTAATCAACTGACTGCAATAATATGATACGAATATTAGTGTTAAATCTGTTTATTTGTCACATCGGTTTTGGAAATAAATGTAATGCAAGTTTAAAATAAATATGAATAAACTGATCAACTTTTGGCATACTTAAACAGGATTCGTTGGGAGTGAGTGCTGATTGTAAAGGTTTGGTCTCCTTGTATATATGTTATATAACCAATGTGTATCAGTTCTAGTTAAGCTTCCTGTGCCCCCGTTATATACTGCCAGTACATTTATCATAGTATTTCCTAGTGTGTTTATACATTTATCGAGTTTAGATTGTCAACTAAAAAATTATCATTTTAAAATATCAACCGGTTTTTTTTTAGATTTAAATATCGAATAGATTGGCGACAAGTCGAGCAGTTAAGATTAAATGCCGTTAACAGAAATATCTGTTTAGATTTCGTTAAGTTGTTCAGTCTGCTAAATGACTTTGTCAACATATGGTCATGTGTCATGTAATCAACCCCTGCAATAGCGAGCTTCAATTTACTTAAAAGTAAAAACTAATATCTTGAAGGGGCAGAACAATTATTCTGTACTAGGATTTTGTCGCTTTACGACACTTTAATGTAAGTATGAACGGTGGAATTATATTATGCATGTTGTTCATATCGCAATAAAAACTATAGAATAATGAATTGCTTGAGGGCATATTGAAATGTAACGTTACACATTATCTACAAACTCGGCATGAAAAAGTTTACATATTAAGATCTGATACTGTAAATGTTCCAGTTTAACATTCTTCAAAAGGGCTTCAAATTGTTTAACACTTATATCTCCAGATGTCTCGTACCTCTTGTATTTCGAAAATACCATATTTGTATTATGCATAAATTCCCTTATCATGTTTTATGAAATTATCTGAAATGCAATTTCAAAATGGTCGCCTCCAACATCTAGTCTTAATTAAATATGTTCATATTTCATATACTGGAAGTCATTTTGATAAATAATGACAATGTAATTTCCAATAAATGGAAAGAAGAAACACCATTTCAAGAGGAACATTTTATCATTTTTCATTGTTGATTAAATTAACAGCCTTTTTTAATTGTAAGTATAGTGTATTTCATTATTTTATAGTACTATTTTTCTATCAGTATTCATGGTGTGATATGTACGTGAACCAGTACCCTGTACCGTGCAGTGGGCACGTAGCCACGCCCATCCTGTAGATATTATTTATTGAGTTGTTAATGTTCGGAATAATTCAGGAAGTCTACGCTCGGTCTCGTTGTAGAACAATTCAATTTTAAGATTTTAATAAATTTTCTTATGTATAATAATGCTGTGTTATTTTGTCTTTTTTTTTAATTTAAAGGTTAAGTGTACGAATTACGTCAAATTGAAATAAATGCAAAGAAGCGATTATGTCTGCACACTTTTAATGTAAAACCTCCGTGTTATCACCGATCGATCACTCAATGCTATCAACTAGCATTATACGGTAAGACGGAGGATCAATTATAAATGATAGCAAATAGAATCAACGGAACATAATTATGTTTTCGCACAAATCACAAATGTAATGTTCAGCCTACTTCCGCGCTATTTCAACGACGAATTATTCATCTAACTTAAAAAATAACATACAATTGTAAACAACTGTCGTTTATTATATGACAGCTGATGTCACCGCTCTTAACTCGCCAAAACGAAAATTACACGTAGAAATGTTTCACGTCTGAAGGATCCGGTGCAAAATACCTAGACAAGCATTTGATCAATCACAGGTTCCGGAAGTCGAAAGCCATGTCAAGTATTTGTTGAAACCCTGTAGGTGTGAGAAGGTAACATTGGATGGATAAAAAGTGACAATATATTACGCCGCCGACAGAACTTGTGCCCTGATCATTTCCGCTTTCCCAAACTGAAACATCAATTTCTCTTATAACGCGAGACGAGGAAGTTATAGTTTAAAGCAGAAGTTCGTGGCGTCATGTCAGCTATGAATTACAAGGTCATGGCCACAGCCAATGTAATGTTTATGGAAATGCACAAGAGATTAAGATGGCTGACAATAAGTTTGGTTCTGTACGAGTATTGACAGCAAATACTGGCCATACAAAACCTCCAGACAAATGATATAATTAACTGTGTGATGATTGTCCTCAGCTTAATGATACAAAGAACAAAACAAAGGAGGCAATGAATCACATTTATCGTGGTGAACGTTCCTACTCCTGTAGACCCCTACTTACTTGATCTGGCATTCTCTGTTAACTGTATTTAAGAGCAGTCATGACAAACAGCGTGTGAATGATGTCGGTATTCTCACAGACTCTGATCAATTTTCTTCTCAAAACTAGTCTGCATCTCTGTAAACGGAAAATTAGTAACACGTGTATGTCAATCTCGGTGCTACACGGGGATGAAGTTATAGAAGACAGAATTACAATACTTTCCACTTGCTATGCAGTTTAATTTGGAGCTTACATTAGAAACCTGAAACAACCTTTTAACAGAAAGAGAATTAGACATTGAAGAAATTCGACGTGAAAAATTTAGCAGAAAGTCTTGATCAATTTATGCTTTCCTTCTCCAACCGATCGATTTCGTCGAGTGAAGTGTTAAATGTCCGCCGCCTGTTGTATGGTTACCATGTATGGTACCATACTGTCTAGTAGTTGGACATTTCAGTCCAGAAAATTGACTTTGGAGTGACATGTATGCTACTAGTATCTGCCTTGGGGTTACACATTGGACTTGGGTTCCCAATAGTGACGTTACTTGTCCAGACTTATTATGCAAGACAACATGGCGCTATGTGAATCCTGATGGAATGGTCACGACCTGATTGTTCCAGTCTCCTATCTACCTCGCACGTGCTAAATATATGTATATTAATGACAAGTTATTTCTGCGTTTTCTGTTAAGTAAATCAGTTTTAAAAGCAAACACCACAACGCAAGACAAAAATTGGAGCTTTAAAATATGACTACGTGATCAAGACCAAACTATATCAAACTAAAAGTTTGCATGCGTGTCCATATACTGTTACTGGAGTATTTCGCAAATTTCGTACTGATTTCCAACATTTGATATAGATACTTACGGACAATTTCCCTGTAGTGTCTGGTGATCTAGAATAGTTCATGTTATTATCACACATATAGAATCCGCCATGATTTCTCTTCTCATATCAATTATCTCGATTCGCATATTCTTAATATTTCAGAATTTTGTGGTTCAAACGATATTATTAGATATAAAAACATGTATCCCACACAAAGGATATATATGTTCTTTGTATAAATGAAAATTATAAATAACTACCATCTTCTACCTTGAGGGTGTGACTGAGGAATCACCAAACCGAAGGGGGGTTTGTTGGTTGTGTAACCTGAGGATGTCTTGTAACAAAGACAGTTACAGGCAACAGCCCTTCTTCCAATAACAATTGAAGACAAGCATCCCTTGTTACAACTGCAATCATAGATCAAAATTCTATGAGAATTAAAAAACCCACCAGATACCTCCCCCTTGTTAAATTATCACTGAGGACTGAACATCATATTCCTTGTTGAAGCTTGGTTTCGTTTTGAGATGACACCCGATATATAGACGCCTTCCTTCGTGGATCACACAGATACATGAGCTGTTATAGAAAGGCGGAGTACTCCATGTATTGCTATAAACGACATTATTCTGAGCTCTGACAGTAGACTTGTAATTTATCAAGTTTTAAACTCGTATATAAGTATAAACCATGTAAAATCGATCTAATTTGTCGCACGTTTCAGACATGTAGAATGGTTATAGTGTTTCACAATGCAGAACATAAAACCGGTAAGACCTGCAGTATGTTACTGACAAATCAGCAGTGCCTTCGCCTACAAAGGAATATCGTTGACTCCTGGATTGGTTAAACGTCTATATGGTATTGGTTGTATAGATTGTGACCAGGTAATGTTTTTGGAACGAAGAGGACATTACGGCGACACCGAAGGAATGGTCATCGTCCAGTAGTAAACGGTACATGGATATATCGCGTAGGTTCCATATTTGTCAATTTGCCAACTCTAGGGTCACTCAGTCAGATTACATTATATCAGACCTCGAGATTGGCCGTATCCCCGCGGATTGAATTTACGCTGGCACCGTTACACGAAAAACAATCGTATACAGGCAAAGAGTCTGCTGTAAAAATTGATATGTGTAACGTAATAAATGATTTTTAAGGAACCTTCCCACCTTAAATGTATTCCTATATTTGTTTCGGAACTCGTTATTTATGTAACGTTTTACATAAGAATCACCAGTAGCCATATTTGGATTAAGTGGTCACGTGGTGCAGTAAGTATTTACTTTGTTTGGTTTTCTTTACGACTTTAAAGCGTTGTTTTTTACTTTGCACTTCTTATTATTTAGCTATTATTTAAAAGCAAAAATTCTTAAAATAACATTTCGATTTCAATAAGATTCATCAGTCTGGAAACATGTAATATCAAAGTATTACTTTATACACAATCCCTTTAATATTACTTTGTGTAAAAAGTAAAACTTTTTGATGTTAAAACATGTCGTTGTTTCACTGCATCATTTCTAGTTGTGCCATTGATACACACGACATAGATAGGATTTTAATTCGTTCGTCCATATTAGACCTCTTAAACAAAAATTATCAGATTATGTAACTGACTAAATACCATTGCAGTATGCTTTTTACGGAATAAGATTCATCAGTTTGGTATACTTATAAGTACTAAGTTTGTTTTTAACACAAACTGTAATTGAAAACCTGTTTTTCGAACTTTCGAAAACGTCGGTTTTATTTGTCAATTAAAGAGTGCAAATTCTTTTCACGCAATCTCTTGTCGAGCAAAGAGTGCAAAACAAGTTAAACACTCAGTACACTTTGATGATTTAATTATTATGCGTATCCTCAAATGAAAGAGACTTATACAAATTCAAAAACTATTTGGTTAGTTGTTTCTATTTGGAAACAAAAGCGCACAAAATTGCTTCCCTACGTGTCTGTCATGTATATATTGCTGCATCTCTGCAGCCTCTCTCATGTTGACGCTCTACGCGTCCTTGTCTGTAATGAGTGATCTCCTGGTGTTGTAACGATGAGTGACCTCCTGGTGTTGTAACGATGAGTGACCTCCTGGTGTTGTAACGATGAGGTACCAATGAAGGTTTAAATGAAGAATCTAATCACACCTAGATATTGCTCAACAACATGTGCTTCTGAAAGCGGTCTTTCTGTACTGACAGAATCATAGTGAGTTTGTGGATAACGTCTGCATGGGTCTTCCTGTCGCTCCTGAATAATGTTTGTCCTGTTTATCAGTTTAAACATGGCAAGAAACGAACTACAAAACACCACGTATCACGCTCCTGGAGGTTCTGGAAACATAAGTAATAAATAGTGTATTGCATAGCTCGGCATGATTGCAGGATGCGACTAATGTGGTGACTCATTTGAATAGAGGATGTTCTTATGAACCCTCTAACTTAGTGAGACTGAGGAGACCGAATCTATCTACTATTTCTGTGCACCACCTCGGGCTTTTATCTGTCCACTTCCTCTTCCATTATGTCTCTTGATGCACCTCTTGTTAACACGTTTTCGGAAACATACTTGTCTAGATGTCGTTCCCCTACATTCACATTATGACATATTTAATTATCTGTGGTTATCTATATGACCTTATCTATTACAAAGAGGTTAAACTCAAATGATCAGTCCACGTTAATGTATTCGAAAGGGAACTACATTGGTTTATTAAACAGTTTACATTTCCAATATCGTTATTCGGGGACAGTTTGTAAGGTATAGATGTTGTCCATAGTCACCATGTCATGCTAGGGCCATCATTGTGACATCACGAGTTTGACTGACATTTTCTTAATTTTCTAGACATTCTTTTATCGGTATTCCAAAGAACCTTATATTTTTAGATACAGTAATCGTCTAGGATTTTCTGGGAAATTATGCTGCTAGAAAAAAGATGAGTAACAACGCGTGAGACGTATTTAATTAAGATTATATATACCATTCTAGATTTCAATATGTATACATTTAGTATAATTTTTAAAAAGTAAATCATTATGATTTTTAATGGCTATTTTAAAGATATTTCATCAAGTCTGATTGCTTTTAATTTTTTACAGTCCCACTTCCTTCAGTATGGCTTTGAAATCAATACGTAATATTATTTATCATCGATATTTTGGTTCAATAAATTTAACAAAAGGTATGCTTGTAATATTGGTTACACAATCTTAACGTGGGATGTGCCGGCTTATAGCGTGTTGATATGTTAATGTTCTGTTGTGA